AATAGATTGAAGAATGAATGGTTGGTTGACTGTTTGGTTGAATGTTAGTTGATTGGTTAGATAGGTACACAGTACACATATACATATAAAAATGCACAAGCACACCACACACACATACAAACACACACACACACATACAGAGAGAGAGAGAGAGAACACACACAAAACCAACCATATTTGACTACAAAACCGGCTAATGATGTGTAGATAAAGTTTGTCTTTCTAACCAGTTGATTCACTTTGGCCAAGACAAGATCTGCTATTTTGTCAAAATGAGTCATTGGTCTTTTGGTCATCTGTGTTAAGACCTGTTGCATTTTATTCAAATAAGTTTTTAGTACTGTTGTTAATACTACTACTACTACTACACCACTACTGCTACAGCTACTGCTACAACAACTACCGCTACTACAATTACCGCTACTACAACTACCTCTACTACAAACATTGGGGTTGGATTCGTTGGAGAAAAGAAGTCTCAACATTTTATTTGCTGTTGATTTCTTGGCAGCTTTTTTGGTGATGGCAAAATCGACTGCCTCTATAGTTCCATTAATGATGCCGTCACATCGATAGCTGTGGTGTGGTTGTGTGTGGTTGTGTGTGTCCACAGTGTGGCTCTGTGATTTGTTTTGTATGATCTTTTTGTCTGTATGTAAATTTTTTAAAAAACCTATCTATGAATGTCAATTAAAATACTAATAAGTGGGTAATAATTTAAAAAAGAGATAGATAGACAGAAAGAGAGAGAGAGGAAAAGACGGAGAGAAAGAGAGAGAGAGAGAGAGAGAGAGACGGAGAGATAAAGAAAGAAAGGAATGGATGAAAAGAAAATATAAGTCAGATAAATTTCAACCATTATAGCACAAAAATATTAAATCAACAACACAGCAACCTAATGCGTGCATGTCTGTTGTTGATTTAATAATACAGCTAGCAAACATTTTTTATTTTAACTATTTCTAATGTTTTTACTGAAACTGTAAAGATAGGTAATAAAAAATATGTGATGAATAACCAAATATTAAATAAATTAAATTATAATAAAATCCTAAATAATTTTTCACAAAAATATGTGGAAAATAACAAAAAAAACAAAAATTTACAAAAAAAACTGAACCCTTGTTCAGTTTTCTCATCAGCTATGTTGAACTTGAGGTTCCACCCCTTCTGTTGGCAAAACTGGGTCAACAGGCTTACAGGGTCTTGATTCTGACTGGTAAGCGGACTTTTTGCCACATCTTCTTTTGGTGCATTCTCAGCTGTTTTGACAATTTGTTTTTTTTTTGTTTAGGTTTGTTTAATTTTATTTTTACTTAAATTCTAAAATTTTGAAATGGATGATGAGAAGGATGAAAGGAGGAGTTAACAAAGAATGAAAGAACAAAACTTGAAGAGAAAAAAGTAACGAGAGAAAAAAAGAAAGAGAGAGAGAGAGAAAAAGAGAGAGAGAGAGAGAGAGAGGGTTGAATCATACTTTTAGGCTTGAGGTAACTGTTCTCTCTGATGATCATGAATGCCTCCTTAGCAGCCTCTGCCTTGGCATCCTTTTTAGTCGAGCCCGTTCCCAAGGGGTACTCCATCCCCTGAATGATAAAAACATTTCCAAAGCACCCCGTCCGGCTGACACTCGAGCTCGAAGCCACCGGACGTTCCTCACTACTGATGGTCAACTTCTGCAAGGAGCAATATTCGTGGAGCACGCTGATCTTAAAATTGGTGGGTTGATTGATTTAGTTAGTCAATTAATTTGGTGTTTTTGAATTTCAGTTAAGGAAATTAAGTTAAGTTAGAAAAAATTTATTAAAATGAAATTACATTTTTAAACTTTACAGGAATTTTTAATTATGTAAAATTAGTAAAAATAAATAAATAAAAAAAAGGAAAAACTTACTGCATTTTTTTCACCACTGTCAAACTGCCTAATCAAATTGTCCACAGTGCTCTTTTCCAGGTCCTTGTTGGACCTCACATCAAAATTTTGGTAATTCACTCCAATGATATGATGTCCAGGAATGTAGTTCCTCTGCAGTTCTTTCTGCCTCTATTTGGAAATTTTTAAAACTCTTGTATTAAAATACTCTCTGAATGAGGTTTTAACAACAAATCATTTAAAAAATTTTCTCAAGATTACTTTATAATATTTATTTTTCAAATTTTACAAGAAAATCACTAAAATATAAAAGAATTTTGGCAAGCAAAGATAAAAATAAACAAGGAATAGAATCAAAGTGGAATGAATACAAAGACAAAACAATATCATTATTATAAAAATGCTGATAAAAGTTAAAGAAAGATTATTTGTCAAGTGAATGAGTGAGTGAATGAGTGAGAAAGTGAATGAGTGAATAAATCAGTGAGTGAGCTGGTACACGCCCAACATTACATACCTCATGATCCATGGCAGGCTGCAACAGGTTGGCTTTCATCTTTGAAAAGGGGATATGATGAGAGGATCTCCCAGCCAGCCCATCATCACCACAATCATCATCATTATTATCATCATTATTGTTTTTATTATTATTATTATTTCCATTGTTATTCCTCATATTATTATTCTTCTTATTATTATTATTATGATTACTGCCGGAGGAGCCGGACCATGGTGGCCGTGGTGCTGACATGATTGCTGCCTAAAAAAAGATTAATATTATTTTATTAAAAATTTGAATATGAAAATAAATTTAGCGAATTAAAAAAATTAAATTAATTACAAGCGTTAAAAAGCAGCAGAAAAACTCATTTAAAAAGATTTGAACCCCGTACTACAGAGTAAGGAATAGTTTAAAAGTAGTTAAAAGTGGATTTAGATTTGAAAGACTTTTTGCTGCCTAAAAAAAGATTAATATTATTTTATTAAAAATTTGAATATGAAAATAAATTTAGCGAATTAAAAAAATTAAATTAATTACAAGCGTTAAAAAGCAGCAGAAAAACTCATTTAAAAAGATTTGAACCCCGTACTACAGAGTAAGGAATAGTTTAAAAGTAGTTAAAAGTGGATTTAGATTTGAAAGACTTTTTCAAAATTTGAAATGCGGTAAATAATTAATAACTTGAATGAATGAATGAATGATCTGAACGAATGAATGAAGTTTTTAAAAGAATAAATGAATGATGAACAAATGGATAGATGAAGATGAAAAAATACAAAAGCTTTAACAGCAGACCCATGAATCTATATAATATATCCATGAGCAGACCATTTCCAAGCAGAAGAACCACCCAGTGGGACTCAAAGTGGACGTCGTATAGAACCATGGACATACATCATCATATATAGAACATCACAACTATTTTTCAACTCACAAACAACTGGCCAAGAAATCTATTCCTCGTTCTTTCGATATATTATAAAGTGACGCTGATAAAGTGAATTCAGCTGGTAGTTTGTTACTAAATTCATATAAGTATTTAATTTCCTGAAAATCGCCAAGTATATTCGCGCAAGAACATTTTCATATTTTATTTTCCGTCGGCTGTTTAACATTTCCTCTAGCCACAAACAACACACAAATTGAAATGGCCAGTCAATTAAAGAGAAAAATCTTCCTTTAAATACCAGAAGTGTGCCCAAAAAGTCAATATGGTAAAAGTTTATTTCAATACATTTCATCACAACTGTTATAAACTTCATGGTAATTTTTTTTAAAACAATCATCACTCCATAACCCGCTGAGGTATTTTAGTTAAAACCCCGAGATCATGTTACGCAGAGTTGATATGTGTGCGTGTGTGTGTGCGTGCGTGTGTGTGTGTGCGTGTGTGTGCGTGTGTGCGTGCGTGTGTGTGTGTGTGTGTTCGCGCTTTCAAATGTTCAAAGAAAAAGTAAATTGAAATAATAAAATGAAATTATTTTTTATGATAATTCAGTCTTATAACAAGGTCAATCAAGCATCATGTATTTCATAAATCAATTAACAACTACACATATTTATGTTGTATTAGAATTATTATCAGGTTTCTTCTTTTTCATTCATTCATTCGTTTATTTATTCATTCACTGTTTAAATCGTTCATTCATGCATGCATGCATGCATGCATTCAATCATTCGTTCATTCGTTCCTTCGTTTGTTTGTTTGTATTTATGTATGTATGTGTGTGTGTGTGTGTGCGTGCGCGCGCGTGTGTGTAAACGTATATATTTGTGTACATTTAACGTGCATATGTAACAATACTACCACAACTAATGAGAAAAACAATGATATTTTTATTATTATTATTATTTCCGAAAAATTGTTTATCTTTTTAAAAAAAGGTAAAGAAAGAAAGATAGAGATAGAGAGAGAGAGAGAGAGAGAGAAAGAGAGAGAGAGAGAGAGAGAGAGAAAAGAAAAGCAAGGAGAGTGTTTACGCTACCACTATTAAATCAATTGCTTAAGAATAAGGATAACAATGACGATGATAATGATTGCCATAAGAATTATGGTAATGATTTTGATAATGATGATGATGGCGATGATAATGATGATGATGATGATGGCGATGGTGATAATGATGATAGCGAAATGAGTATTCTTTGAAGATAGCAGCTCTTTCGTATAAATCCATCCATCCATCTTTTTGACTTTCCATAAATTTTTTCGTCAAGTATTTCCATAATGATTTTCTGTTATTTCTCATCATCCAATTGATTCATTCACTCATTCTTTCATTCATTTGTTCATTCGTTCAATCATTTATTTGTTGTTTCATCCATCCATCTATCCATCCACCATCCATCCATCTATCAGAAACTTGATCTGGTAAAAATTCTCTTACGAAACTTATCAAAGGGAGAAAAACAAGAAAAAAAATAATAAAAATAATAAAAGAAGAACAACGAATACAATCAATAATAATAATAACAACAACAGCAATAATAATAACAATAATAATAAAATGTTTTTTTATTTAATAGAGTACCTATATTCTAACCACATATGAAACTAGGTGCATGTTATGGCTGAGGTTCTATACGTGTATGTGTGTATGTATGTATGTATGTATGTATATATGTATGTATGTATGTATGTATGTATGTATGTATGTATGTTAAAACCAAAACATGATGAGTGACACTGAACCGTCAAACATCAAGTAACAAATGGATTAACACTTTGATTTGTCGTTAATTGCACATGTCGGCATTCAGTTGGATATTTTCAAGCACACAAACACGCAGGAACCGCTGTAACAAGCACGAAATGTGGTTAGTTGCGAAAAACAGTTCCCTGCTGTCACCTGATCTGACACTGATCATTTTGCCTATTTCCTTCAGAAATTTAAGGGTGTTGGGGTCCATCGGGCCGAGAACCTCGATGCATATTGGCAAGAATTCCATCGAGGGGAGGGCATTCCCATATTTTTTCATTTTCTCGTCCGCTGCCCTGGCCGCGGCCAAACCGCATTCTTTACTTGTCAGGTTTACGTATCGTTCGGCGAGGGTGCCAGGGACCGTAACATCCCACGCCAAACATCTGCCGGCTCTCCAAGGTATTAGCGTGCATCCGTCCGGTCGCCTACCATCATGCGCAGAAATGCCGGATGGTTCCTTGAGAACCGGGATTGAAGCCTTGGAGAAGAGCCGACAAATGTAATCGTTTAGCGCTGAGTGACGTGGTTGACGGCCCCCACCCAGGCGACAAACCAAACCGTGGTGCCCAAACTCGTCCGCCTCAGCGCCACATCGGCACGTGTATTTATTCTGAATGACGAGGCCAAGTCTGAAGCCAATGGCAAATCTTACAGACTCGTCGTCAAGCCTGGTGCCCACAGAGGTGTTAGGCCACGATCTCAACCACCCACAGCTGGCAACGCTGGACATGGCCAACAAACGAGCGGTGGAAAAGTCTTCGCCGCATGAAGACAACAAATTTTGAAAGATTTTTTTATATTCTTCGTTCAAAATTTGGACGTGCGTACGGTCCCCCGGGGCGGACGCTGGGGGAAGAATATCGCGGCAACGAAAAAACCGGTGGAGCAGGGAAGACTGTAGGTCGAGAGTGGCAGCGGCAGAAGAATTATAAACAACGGGAGCCAACTGAACCACGCTAAGCAACCCCAGCCCACCAAATCGCACCGGCAGCTGAGCCTGGGACCAACCACTGTCGGTCACTTGAACATTGCAAATCGACGACAGGGCGGTGCGCAGGGCTCCGTCAAATTCGCCCAATTTAGAAGGGTCAATGTGTTTAGATGTACGCAGGAAGTACATCAATTTGGGCAAACTGAGGGCATTGCGGATAATAGTCAAGGCATCATGGGCCGAAAGACAGGAAACACGACCCAGGGCGAATTCAAGCTCAGAGAGCTTTTGGTCAAAAAACTTTATTTGATAATCGCCCTCGACCAAGGGTGTGCCCAAAAAACTCAGTTCTGATGCACCAACTCTGGGTATTTCAGCCAGCGCATGTGGCACCTGAAATAAACTTTGGCAGTGAAGTTCGCATTTTTTAATGTTTAACTCTAAGCCAATTGCAGCGGAGTTATGCTTCAAATATTCGTAGCTATCGGCCAGAGTTGGACCGTCCGAAGCTATGCTGATATCATTCAGATAAGTGCAAACGAAGGTGGACGAAGCTTTCTCTAAGAGTGGATGAAGAGTTAGTGCGAACAACAAAGGACCAAGGGGATCACCCTGCTGTACCCCCTCGGACGATTCTACAACCCAAGAGTGGTAGCCAAGGGAAGAGACTCCGCCATAAGCAGAATGGCAAAAATTATAGATGTTGGGGCAAAAAAGTTTGACAGCCTCCAACATCGAGTCTCTTCTCAAGGCATTGAAGGCATTTTTAAAGTCCAGTTTCAGAAACCCCCATTGATCGGGGAGGTCGGTGACCAATCTTCGAACCGCATGAACAGCGGCCTCAGCGCCACCCTTAATCCCGACACCCAACTGAGTCGGGTAGAACTTGGTCTTGAGTTCGAGCACGACCAGGGCCAAGGCACATTTGCCGGCCAACCTCCTCCAAACGTTCCCGACCGCAATCGGTCTGACCCCTCCGTCTTTCTTATTTAAAGCTATGTATGTATGTATGTATGTATGTATGTATGTATGTATGTATGTATGTATGTATGTATGTATGTATATATGTATGTATGTATGTATGTATGTATGTATGTATGTATGTATGTATGTATGTATGTTAAAACCAAATCATTGACGAATGACACCAAAAGCCAAGTGTCTGACTAAATTTGATTTTATTTGCTATAACGTCACTCAACCCCGTCGGCATTCAACTCCACATTTTCCAACACACAGACGCGCAAAATGCGCCAGGAATTTTGTGGGCGGACGTCGTGTCATCACCCAATCTGGACGAAGCGTTCACGTTGGTGAAGCGGCACAACAAACGTCCACGTTTGAACGTCTCATTGGAGGCCAACAGCAACGGGGGAACCACTTCAATCAACAACAACGGCGAAACCACTTCAAACAACAACAACGAAAACACGGCAAACATCAAGACAGCTAAAAAACCAACAAAAGTTATTGGCAAAAAAGTTGTTGAAGATTGTAAATTGAGGGCAGACAAAAATTTAATTAAAAAATCTGTGTTCTCAATGAGCAACATTAGTAAATGCCATCGAAAAGATGTTGTTGAATTTTTGACGTCAAATGGAATCAATGTCATCACATGTTATCCTGTTTTGAAAAAAACAGAAATATCGTCGGATAAAAATTTTGACGAAGATGACCAGGAATGAATAATGTTCAGAGTCTGCATCGCTAGCTCAGATGTCGGTAAGATGAAGGATCCTGACATTATGCTGAAAAACATTATTGTGCGCGAATGGCGCTTCAATCAGACGAAACCTGATGCTAATACTCTGAATGGAAAGTAAAATTTTAAATAACCAATTTTTAAATAATGAAGAACAATTGTTACAAAATTCAATAATGTTTGACGATCCAAGGTCAGTCAATGCTAAATATCAATCTTTCATTTCTGACGTGAGTAATTCAATGCTAAACGTTATGCACTTGAATATAAGAAGTTTAATAAACAAAACTAACGAACTTTATGATTTCTTAATGAATTTTTCCTTCAAATTTAATGTCTTAGCAATAACAGAGACCTGGCTGAATAATGAACATGATGTTGAAATGGAGGGTTATCATTTTGTTGGAAAAAATCAATGTGGTAAGCATGGTGGTGGTGTCGGTTTTTATTTGGAAAATAGTTGTTTATATAAAATTCGAAATGATTTGAATCTTATTGGTTGCAAAGACTTCGAAACATTTTCAATCGAGCTAATTAATAAAGATTCAAAAAAAAATTCGATAATGATCGTAACTTACCGACCTCCGTCTCAAGATCCAAAATTTTATATCAATCAATTAGAACAGTTGTTACACGCTGCGAACAATGAAAATAAATTTATCTGTTTAATGGGGTTTTCAACTTCAATTTATTTTCCGTAGAAGAAGACAACAGCACAACTAATTTTTTACATCTCACTTCATGCTACAATTTATCACCGATTATTACAATTTCAACAAGAACCAGCATTAGAAAACAATCAGTGATAGACAACATTTTTGTGAACTGTTTAAAACCTTCAAGACTGAATGGCGTTGTGATGTGCGATCTATCAGATCACTTTCCGATTTTTGCTTCAATTGATGATGGAAATAGAAGCATTGATGTGAAAGATTCAACACAAATGAAATTCTCTTTTTCAACACATCGTCTGCGGAGATTGAATGAACGTTTGCAATATTCTGACTGGAGTGAAGTTTTTGATTGCATCGATGTTGATATGGGGTTTGAATTGTTCATCAACAGATTTCAATCCTATTTCTATGATGCGTGTCTGATAAAATCAAATAGAAAGAAAAACAAACTCTCCAAACAAAAGCTGTGGTTCACTGCAGAATTTAAAAAATTATTAAAAAAGAAAAAATGTTTATTTAAAATATATCTGAAAAATCCGTCAGAAGATCGACTTTTAAAATTCAAGACTTGTAGTAAACTGTGTACCAACTTAAAAAACAAATTAAAACGTAGATACTACACCAACCAAATCGAGCAAAATATAAACAACAGCAAAAAAACTTGGTCAATAATTAAGGAAGTATCGAATAGATCCAGTGGCAATAAAACGAATTTGCAAGTAACTTCAAATGAACAAATAATTGAAAATCCAGAAAATTTTTTGAATGATTATTTTATCAACATAGCACCAAATCTGCTTAAATCATTTCAAACAAATAATCAATGGAAAAAGTTTCTTGGCAACAAAATACCAAACTCGTTTTTTTGCCTCCACGCATCTGCAGAAGAAATTATTTTCGCAACAAAACTGCTGGCTCCAAAATCATCTAGCGGCTGGGATAACATTCCAACAAAAATAGTCATATCAACAATCCACACCACAGCCTGGGTTCTCGAGCACATCATCAATCGATCACTCACAACAGGTATTTTTCCTAGATGCTTCAAAACATCTAAAATCATACCGTTACAGAAAGTAACCGGAAATAATGATGTTTCTAATTTTCGACCCATCTCATTAGTTCCTGCATTTTTGAAAATAATTGAAAAAATTATGCATAAACGAATAATATCGTTTCTAGAAAAAAATAATATTCTATCTTGTTACCAGTTCGGGTTTCGAGAGAAACATTCAACAGAACTGGCAATAATAGAACTCGTAAGGAAAATTGGAAAGCTTGCGGAGAAAAAACAATTCATCGTAGGAACATGTCTAGATCTGTCGAAAGCTTTCGATTGTATTGATCATTCCATTCTGTTGGGTAAACTTGAACACTATGGCATAAGAGGAACGACTTTGAAATGGTTTGAAAGTTATTTGTCTGAAAGAAAGCAGTTTGTCAGCTGGGGAAATAAAAATTCAACATTACAACATAATGGTGTTGGAGTCCCACAAGGAAGTATCTTGGGACCACTACTTTTCATCTTGTTTATCAACGATTTGCCAAATGCATCAAACTACTTTGATTATGTTTGTTTCGCAGATGACACCAACATTTTTGGTAGCGGAACTAACATCGATGGTGTTATTGACCGAACAAATGTTGAATTAAAAAACGTCGTCAAATGGTTCAACGACAATAAATTAGCACTGAATACTTCAAAAACCCAAATGATCGTCTTCGGTCCAGTGCAGTGTTTAAACTATAAAGAACCGTTCAAAATCACAATTAACAATCAACAAATTGTCGAGAGCAAAATAGTAAAATTTTTGGGTGTCCTCTTAGATCAGAAACTAACGTTTAAACCCTACGTCAATTACATTTCAACCAAGTTGGCCAGATCAATAGGAATAATAAATAGGATAAAGTTTTATCTCCCAAAAAAATGTTTAAATCTTCTTTATAACGCCATCTGTCTGCCCCATGTATCATACTGCAACGTCATTTGGGCCAGTGCTTACCCATCAACTACCATGTCTGTAAAAGTTCTGATGAAAAGAGCAATGAGGATCATCACGCTTTCTCGAAAAGATGCTCACACACCTCAACTGTTCAAATTAACTAATAATTTAGATTTTGATAAATGAAATTTATATTTTACAGCCAATTTTGTATATAAACAACTATCAAACAAACTTCCTTTTATTTTCAATAATTATTTTATTCCGATATATAATTCCAGACGTCAATATAATATATTAGCAAATAAATCAAAAACATTCATACTTTTTTCTCATATCATTTGTAAAGGGCCAAGAATTTGGAATGCTATTTTAAAACATGGTTTTCCATTCAATAAAATTAATGAAGCAAATTTTAAAAATAAATTGAAAATTTATTTGTTGAATAATGACATTGAATGCTAACTGTTGCTGATCGCTAAACGAGCGGATGTATTTGTACAATTTTTATTTATTTATTTTATTATCTATCGCTTTAAGTTCTAATTATTATATTGATTTCTTGATTGAGGAATTGGTTGATTGCTTTATTGATTGATCTCATTGGAAAAGTCGCATTTAATTTACTCACTTGAAAAAATCCCCAGACATCAGTATATAGTTTCTATGTATTTAATTACTGTGAGATCTACTATTCATGTCGTTCTATATGTTGCTTAAATATATAGATAACTATGTAATGTCTATCCCGTGTTTTTCTGGATAGATACCAAACATTGTTATACATAAACCGTGAACCATCGTACTAACAACTAACACCTGTTTTGCTAACATAGTTGAGTTCGTTAACTTACTAACAACTAACATCTAACATGCCACTCATAGATCATTTGGGGAAAATTTTTATTATTTGCTGAAAAACTTTTGTACGAACATAGAACATTTCTGTTTAGGTGGCCATACTAGATGAATTTTTTATAAATTCTATTATGGTCATCCTGCTTTCTTTTAATTTTTAATTTTGAGAAGCAAATAAAATTTCGTTTCGTTTCGTTTCGTATGTATGTGTGTCTCTGTGTGTGTATGTATGTATGTATGTATGGTGCCATTCCTCCTCGAGATTGTTGTTGCTGTAGAGTGATAGAGAAAGAGAAGATTCTCATCAGAAAGCTTAGCGTTGCCTGCATCTCAAATTGCTTACTTAAAACAAATAATCCTATCTACCTATTCAATTTACCTTTACTAACTTAATTAATGATATTCTAAATTCCTAATGAGTAAATATATGTTTGTACGAACGTAGCGTGATATCTCAACCATTCTGATCTTCCATGATGAACTCCTCTGAAAGCTTCAACCTGAATGAATGAACCTAAATGAATGAAAAAATCTTATTTTATTAATTTGAATGAAAATTGGGAAACGAGCCAGAATGGCAAAAATGGCAAAAAAATTGAATGACAAAAAAATGAAATGGTAAAAAAATGGAATGGCAAAGACACCGTAAACTCTACATACCTCTGTATACCTTTTAAATATATAATTTTTTAAATGTCAAGGTCGGTTCATCTGATGTGTTGTTGTCAAATCCAAAACTACTCGTAAATGAGAGAATGAAGATTTAAACAACAAAAACAGCAACAACAACGATGCTAATCAAGGTAAATTGACGTTAACGAACGATCCTACGAAACTTTCAATTCCAATTTTTTTTTCGAACGAAATTCAACTCAATGATTTTCTGTTTTTAAATTTTATTAAAACAAATTAAAAACTTAATTGTTAAAATGTTATTATAAGTCTTAAAACATGTCAGAACTCAGAGTAAACAACTATCTAATTAATTATTTCGTCCAGCATTTATCACCTGCACTCCTTAGAAGTTCTCGAAGGATGATAACCCACCTAACATGAACATTTTTTATTTAGTTGTTTGTTAAAACCCATGCAATTTCGAAGTTGAGCCAATAAACTAAGAAAGCCAAATAGCCAGGTCCTTCAACATATTGGTTAGCAAAATATCATTAGATCGTCGACTAGACAATGTGTTGTGTGTGTGTGTATGTATGTATGTGTGTGTGTGTTTGTATGCGTGTGTGTGTGTGTGTGTGTGGTGTGTGTGAGGACATGTAGATGTATTTGTGTATCTGTGTGTGGCAGGTATTTTAATGGCGGTATTAATACCTACTTATCAGCAGGTTTAATTGGTGTACAACACACTTGATGTCATTAAATGAGGAACTCGCACTTCCAAGAAAGCTTGAAGGAAAAAAAGAATGAGTGTGGAAATCAAATAAAGAGAGAGAGAGAGAGAGAGAGAAAGAGAGAGAGAAAGAAAGAAACCGAAAGTTAGGAATGTTAATTTC